ATTTCGCTTACCCATATAATTACATGCCACATTCAATAATACGTGACACAGTCTAATTTAGTAAAAATTAAATCACACTTCAATTTTAAAACTCAAAAATTTTCTACCACACTAATTTCCTGATCTACGGTATTGCATAATGATGACAGCATTTCTGCATGGCAGGTCTATATACAAATTATAGAACCCACCACATCAAAGGAATGATGTCATCATTGTGCTATATATATATATAAGTATATTTACATATTATTATGCATTATTATATTTACACCTGAATCAAGAGCTCTTAATGTCAGTACTGGTCTGTACTATTATAAATAATAATTTTGATGTGTGTTATATATTGTAGTTATCACAGCAACATCATCAGGTGTTGTTATTATATTACTACTACTGATAGTAATAACTCTCACTGTACTTGTTATTACATATAAAAGGAAGTTATACAGTAAGTATTGACACATGTTTATTATAATCATTAATATTACAGGGTTTGCCTCATTACAACAACAACAAGAAGTACCTACTTTACGTAATGAAGCATATGAATTTAACACTTTAAGGATTATTAATAATAATTCTACCAATCCTAATCCTGCTTATGAAGAGATAAGAGGAAACAGAGGAGGAGCAGTTAACATGTGAATCATTTGTAATACTTGAATCGCCATTGCTAAGGGGAGAGTATCTTAGTGTTTCTCCCTCTCTCCTTTATTAATGTTTTTTATCATGTCTAACTCGTATATTTCCTTACTTAACTTATCTCAATTTATTCTTTTATCCTTAATTATGTCGCTGGCCCTATTTTTTTGCTTTTAAATAAAGTAATTTTACTTTAAATAAAATTAGAGATGTGTGTGTATTATAGCTTTGGTTAATTCTTCATTCATTTCCAAAAATTGTGACTCTGCATTAATATCTTGATTAAAATTATTAAAACTAAATTTTCAGAGTCATTTTGGGTATTTTTCAAAAATTGGCATCACCCACATAAATATTGTCAAATGCTCCATTTTAAAAAATTATTAATCTGCATTGGCTGCAACTTTTATATCAGAAAATGTATTAAAAATTGGGAGATAGATCTAATTTTGGAGCCATTTGTTCGGAAAAAAAACCAAAGGAAATTTGGCTTGTTTTTGAAATGGCTGTAACTTGAAAAATTTAGCTTGGAACTGACTCAAAGTTTCTACACAGCATAAGTATGTCAATATGCATCAGTAAATTTTAAAATATGGGTAATTTTGGAGGCATTTTCAGAAAAAACCTGAGGAAGGAATTTATAAAAAACTAGCATGTTTCTTAAAATGTTCATAACTCAAAAAATATTTGTCAGAATTAGCTTAAACTCTCTACATAGCATAAGTATATCAATATTAATTTTAAAATGTGTATGTATTAGAGCAAATTTAAGATGATTCGAAGTTTTAGAAAAACCATTAGCTATAGTAATTAATGCAGCAATTGATGAATTTGTTCCACTCTCTGTTGTTTCCAGTTGTTATTTGCAAAGCTCTTAGTTCTTCCTCAAGCTCCTGGAAAATAAAAGAGAAAATAATTGACATACACAGTTTTATTTTGGCAAACAGTAATTTTTTGCTAAAATCACCACAATCTGCCATTTTGTGTCATTCTTCATATGCTCAAAGACACAAGGTAGCTAAGTCCCCCCAATATAAAATCACCAATATTATATACACTGCAGCATATATGTACATGTATACATGCCTGCATTTTATCTTGCTCTATTTCTCCTCTTACTTTAACAATGGATGCTGAGTGATTGGGTATGCTTGATTGAGTGAAACTGTCCAGATCAGTTCCAAAATAGCTACACTGTACGTGACCTACTTCATCAAGAGTCACTATAAGACCATTCAGATCACTAAAAAATAATAACAACAACAATAATAATAATAATAACAACAACAAGATAATGTTACTCAAACTTTTATTGATGAATATAAAAATACCATATAACTGGTAACTTAATTTTGGTGAACTGCTAAAATATTAATAATTTTTAGTGATTGGCAGATTCTAAGTAATCAGTCAAGAGTCTTAATAAGCATAGCAATGGTAATTGTGGTCAATGTATTATTATTCAAAATTTATTTCATAACTAGACAAATGTAAAACATTAAGGGGGTGTAGCATTATGCAGCTCTGACCCCAGCCATGCTATCATCATACAGATGAGGTTATTTCACTATAAAAATAGTTAGACAATCCTACTGCCTGTACGTACAGACTCACTTCATGATAGGGCTTTGCCTAATAGTAATTAACAGTAATAGAAACTTTATATTCCAGTGGGCTACGCTCCACTCCAGTTACTGGTATTTCAAATCAAATTAAAATTTGAAACATGAACAGTAACATGTAGCTATGAATTCCAGTCATTGTTCAACTCACATACTCTACTCTTTTTAAAGGGACTGTGCCCTAATTATTTCATATTTATAATATTATTTGGGAAACAGGTAGCTTTAAATTCCAGTCCTTGTCAAGCTCACATACAGTCTAGTAAAATGTCAAAGATGTTCATCTTTATGTTGTTGTTGCTAGCTACCATTGATGAAGGAGAAGGATCAGTTATGGCTGATTGTACTGGATATAAACATGAACAATCACTGTATCTAAGAGTATGCTGTATCATTAGTAACTTGGAACAGAATGTTACCATTAAAGGAATTGGTATAACAAGATATATTTTATGTCCTAAAGTACGACCAAAGTCATGCCCATTAGGTACTGTATATATATATCTGAAATAGTTCATGATGTACTTATTGTAGATAACAGAGACTGTAAGAGCTTGTTTGAGACTGGTTTTGATAGAAATGGTGTTTATACTGTTAATCCTGATGGAGGGACTCCATTTGAAGTTAGTTAAACATAATTTATAATTATACGCTATTAGATCACAGGTATACTGTGATATGGAGACTGATGGTGGTGGATGGACTGTATTTCAGAGGAGACAAGATGGATCTGTTGATTTTTATAGATACTGGACTGACTATGAGAACGGATTTGGTGACCTTACTGGTGAGTTTTGGTTAGGATTGAGCAAGATTCATCGTCTTACTAAAGAAGAATCAAACACACTAAGAGTGGACCTGGGAGACTTTGAGGGGAATACAGCTTATGCTAGCTACTCTACATTTAATGTTAGTGATGGTAGTACTGAATATATACTAACAGTAGGAGGATGCTCTGGTACTGCTGGGGATGATCTGGTCTGGTATCTTAATGGAAGGAGATTCAGTACAAGAGATAATGATAATGATGCATGGTCAGGTAACTGTGCTCAGTACCACACTGGTGCCTGGTGGTATAATAGCTGCACTCATTCAAATTTTAATGGTCGTTATTTTAATACTGCAACAACTAATAATCGTCAAGGAATTGTTTGGTACTATTGGAAAAATGCATACATTACTCTCAAGTTCACAGAGATGAAAACTCGTCGTGATATTTAAATACTGTCCCCCCACAAACATAAGTGTGCTGATATTATGACATGATTATGAATAACTATTGACTATTAATAAACTTAAATTGTTAATAATTTTCCAGCTATAATATACTGGTATACTAGAATTGTCCATTACAGAAATACCCATAGTCTCTTGTCAAAGTACCCTATCTGTGTATTACATTATGCTGTGATTCTATCAGGAGAGGTATACAGCCTCCTTTCAATACCCATACCCTTTGTCAATGTATTCAATAATGTTAATAGATTATGCTCTAGCCTACTAGCAAGACTACATAATATTATGTACTCTTGCTAGTAGGAGTCTAGGACTGTCATAGGACCTATATGTATACTCATACCCTTATGCCAATGTATCGTAAGAGTATACTACCATAATGTTACCAGTAACTAACAACATGAACATAATCGATACTGATAGTCACAGAAGTTAAGTAAGTAAACTGTAATTGTCCATCAGAGTAACTGCTCATTTAATACATGGCTTGAATTCCAGTCCTTGTCAAGTTTATGTACAGTCTAGTAAAATGTCATTGTTGTTGCTGTGTATACTAGTTACAATTGATGAAGGAGAAGGATATTATTGTATGGCTGATTGTACTGGGTATAAACATGAACCATCACTGTATCTAAGGGCATGCTGTAAATGTAGTAACTTAGGACAGACTGTTACCATTAGAAGAATTGGTATAACAAGGTATATTTTATGTCCTAAAGTACAACCAAAGTCTTGTCCAAAAGGTACTGCAATAATAGAAGTGTGTAATTGTTGTATTATAGGCAGTGATTGTAAGAGCTTGTTTGAGGATGGTTACTAGTGGTGTTTACACTGTTAATCCTGATGGAGGATTCCATTTGAAGTTAGTTCAATAAAAGTAATTTATAATAAACACAATTGGATCACAGGTATACTGTAATATGGAGACTGATGGTGGTGCCGGGATGGACTGTATTTCAGAGGAGACAAGATGATTTATATAGGAACTGGACTGACTATGAGAATGAATTTGGTTAGGATTGAGCAAGATTTTATCGTCTTATTAAAGAAAGATCAAACACACTAAGAGTGGACCTGGGAGATCTTGATGGGAACACAGCTTATGCTAACTACTCTACATTTGGTATTAGTGATGGTAGATCTAGTACTGAATATATACTAACAGTAGGAGGATACTCTGGTATAGCTGGGGATGGTCTGAGCATGCATCATAATGGAAGTAGATTCAGTACAAGAGATAATGATAATGATGCATGGGAAGGTAGCTGTGCTCAATCTCTCACTGGTGCTGGTGGTATAATGCCTGCTTTAATTCAAATCTTAATGGTCGTTATTTTAATATGTCAACTAATAATGATTAAGGAATTGCTTGGTGGCAATGGAAAGTAAACACTAGTCTCAAATTCACAGAGATGAAAATTCATTGTAACAATTAAATAAAGTCTCCCACACACAAAAGTGTGTTTACATTATGCTGATATATTATTATGTCATTTCAATTACAGCTTGTCGTGATTATTAATAATCATTAATAAATTTATTAATTATTGAATAACTGTTATAGTGAGAAGTGATGTAGGCATGTGTGGGTGGGTAAAAGAATACTATAATGTCATTGAGCATGTACATAATGGTTCAGAACTAAAACGCTAGAATTATATAGACTAACAGATACAATTTCCAACTGTGAGTTTTATGTCACTATAACACCATCTAGATCACTATAAAATTAATAAATAATAATAATAATAATAATAATAATAATAATAATAATAACAACAACAAGACAATAAACTATGCTTGGCTGCCTTTTTTATATGAACAGTTCCCTGTCATATAAAAAAGTATTTGCTCCAAAATCTACAATGAGTATCAACACGTCAATAACATGTCACTATACTAGCATGAACCTCTAATCATGTTAGATAATGCTTCTATCACAGCAACAATTGACATTATGAACATTTCCTCTTTCCTAAGAATCAAGTATTACATACAGCCCATACTAACAAGGCTGTATACAATTAAACTATCCATCGTTTGCAAGATCATTTAAAACTAACAGCAGCATTGAAACATCTCCAGTCCATAGCTATAGCTACAATGGATCATGGGTCATTGTTCTTCATACTCTTAGTGTTACTGTCAATTACTAGAACTGAAGGATCTTATTGTATGGCTAGTGATTGCAATAATACCAGATCATATCAACGTGGTGGGGGACTAGCACTGTATCTAAGAGTATGCTGTAACAGCAGTAACTTAGGACAGTCTGTTACTATCAGTGAACCTGGTATTAATAGATACATTCTCTGTCCTAAAGTATTACCAAAGTCCTGTCCTAAGGAACCACAAAAGCCTTGTCCTAGTGTAGTAACATCAAACTCTACTCAAGGTACATAAACTGTAATAAAGTCAATAGATCAATGAGACCAAAAGAGCATGTACAAAAGATAGTTATACTACAACAATAGGTGGTAGCTGTATATTACTGTATAGGTGTTTATAGCATGTCAATGGTACAGTACTTAATCAGTAGTAATCATTTTCATGCTTTATCTCCCAATAAGCACTCATATGATGCAATAACTATTATTCTATGTACTATAGCACTTCCAGACTGTAAGGATTGGTACAGTAATGGTAGTATTACTAGTGGTGTTTATACTATTAATCCTGATGGAGGAACTCCATTTAAAGTTAGTTAAAAGTAATTTATAATTATACACTATTGGATCACATGCAGGTATACTGTGATATGGAGACTGATGGTGGTGGATGGACTGTATTTCAAAGGAGACAAGATGGATCTGTTGATTTCTATAGATACTGGACTGACTATGAGAATGGATTTGGTTGTCTCACAGGTGAGTTTTGGTTAGGATTGAGCAAGATTCATCGTCTTACTAAAGAAGGATCAAACACACTAAGAGTGGACCTGGGAGACTTTGAGGAGAATACAGTTTATGCTAACTACTCTACATTTAATGTTAGTGATGGTAGTACTGAATATATACTAACAGTAGGAGGATTCTCTGGTACTGCTGGGGATGGTTTGTGGTGGCATAATGGAAGGAGATTCACTACAAGAGATAATGATAATGATCAATATGGAGATAACTGTGCTCAATTTGCCACTGGTGCCTGGTGGTATAATAACTGCTATGATTCAAATCTTAATGGTCGCTATTTTAATGCTTCAACTAATACTATATATGGTCAAGGAATTGCTTGGGAAAATTGGAAAGGACACATTACTCTCAAGTTCTCAGAGATGAAAACTCATCGTAACAATTAAATACTGCCCCCCACACACATAAGTGTATTTATATTATTATGCCATTTCAATAATACAGTCTGTCATACCTTGTAATGATTATTAATAATTATTGACTATCTGACTTTTATTAACTTCAAAACAAGCAACATAGTAAAAGTGCAGTACAATAATAATCTACATGTACCCCACAGAATAGAATTAATATAAAATAAAACACTTTTAGCTCAGACTAATATTATAATTCACTAATGATAACAAGCATCATAAAAATTAATGATGAAATACTAACTAACTAATGGACTCAACATAGTAACTTAAAAACACTATACACTTTTCAAAACTAAAAAATGCTAGTAATAATATATACTATAGGGAATCAGTTAAAAGTCTAAGTACAAAATAATTTTTTATTGTTATTCAATTTTCTACAAAATGAAATTGAAACTGTGGACAGACAATACAGCTGAGTAAAACAACACTTGTATAAACTACATATGCTCATTCAATACATGGTTAAAATTCCAACTCTGTCAAGCTCACATACATTTTAGTAAAATGTCAAAGATGTTCACTTTTATGCTGTTGTTGCTGTGTTTAATAGCTACCATTGATGAAGGAGAAGGATCTTATTGTATGGCTGATTGTACTGGATATAAACATAAACCATCACTGTATATAAGGACATGCTGTAACAGCAGTAATTTGGGACAGACTATTCATATGAGAGAAGGAAGAGTGAAGACTATCATGGTATGTCCTAATGTAAGGCCACAGGCCTGTCCACCACTAGGTAAATAAACTAATACATTAATAATAATAATAATATTATACTGACTCTATGAAACTAGATAATAGAGACTGTAATAGCTTGTTTGAGGATGATATTACTACAAGTGGTGTTTATACTGTCAATCCTGATGGAGGGACTCCATTTGAAGTTAGCTAAAAGTAATATATAATTATACACTATTGGATCACAGGTATACTGTGATATGGAGACTGATGGTGGTAGATGGACTGTATTTCAGAGGAGACAAGATGGATCTGTTGATTTCTATAGATACTGGACTGACTATGAGAATGGATTTGGTGACCTTACTGGTGAGTTTTGGTTAGGATTGAGCAAGATTCATCGTCTTACTAAAGAAGGATCAAATACACTAAGAGTGGACCTGGGAGACTTTGAGGGGAACACAGCTTATGCTAAATACTCTACATTTAATGTTAGTGATGGTAGTACTGAATATATACTAACAGTAGGAGGATACTCTGGTACTGCTGGGAATAGTCTGGCCCTTCATAATGGATGGAGATTCAGCACAAGAGATAATGATAATGATAAATATGGAGCAGGATACAACTGTGCTCAGTATTGGACTGGTGCTTGGTGGTACAATGACTGTCATAATTCAAATCTTAATGGACTTTACTTTAATACTTCAACTATTAATAATCAAGGAATTGTTTGGCATCATTGGAAAGGATCAACTACTCTCAAGTTCACAGAGATGAAAACTCGCCATAACAATTAAATACTTTCCCTTACACATATAAGTGTGTTTACATTGTGCTGATATAATTATTACTAAATATTAGAGTCTGTCATACCTTGAAGTTATTATCAATAATTATTGACTATTGACTACAATGTAGGTTTTGTGGGTGGATAACAGGGAACTATTATTAATTTATTATGCCATTGAGCATGTACATAATGTGTGGTTCAAAATGGTGGGGGTTATTTTGGCAAATGCCTATCCTATTTAAATGCCAAATTTGTCAAAATGTATTGCCTTCAAAATTAAATTACCACCTATACAGTACATGTACATGTACATCAACATGTACATGTACATGTATTTTAAAAACACTTACTCAAATCTCCTAACAGAGAGTGATACTGGAGGATGAGACAGTTGAACCGACTAGACCATTACCTGATTACTGACCACTTGCAGCTGCAGGGAATGACCAGCCATGATGTAATTGATAGTAGATTGAGGTGAACTGTCTATACAATGGAAGGAAGGCAAGAAATAGAGAATCAATCATTTAAAGTAATATGAGAGAGAGAAAGACAATATTTTCACAAAAGGTATACAATTTTTTCTTAGTAATACAATAATTATAAGTCTCATTCTTTCTCCTTACTGGATTTATAAGGAAAAATGCAGGTAGCATAAAACTCCAATTTCTTTGAAAAAAGACAATACCAAGATCTTCCAAGCACAAGTTTCTCTTGCTGAGTACCATAATATACCAGGGACCTTCGTCAGATGAAATGACCTTCATATCAACAACTGATTTATTTAGTATATCACACTATAATTGTAGAAAAAATTGAGTAAAAAATTTTATTTTATATAATGCATTAATTACATTTTATATATTAATGCAACAATTTGATCATTAACTTAACATATTGCATTAATGAATGTATAGTACATGTAAATATTATACATGTACATGTAACACTAATTTTACATAAATTTTAATTAACCCTTTACTTACTTTACTCTTTCTTGCCTTTGACCCACTTGAGAGTGTGTGGTCTGCCCACTACTAGCCACAAGAAAAGTATCAGTACAAAAAAACAAAAAATGATCCGGGCAACAAGAAATTGGGCAGATTAATAAGATTATAACGAAGTATTTCACTGTTGTAATCATAAATTAATATCTGACCATCAAGCGATTGGACACAAGCCAGCTGCTCACTGATTCATCTAAATTCTCCAATTGATGATCATACTGTGAGTGGTGTGGCTTAGTGAGTGTGAAGGATAACCAGGAGCAACGAATGAGTACTAGAAGAAGGACCAAAACAAATAAAATTTTATTAAATTTGGGCATTTCAAAAATTACCAAATTAAAAAAAAAGCAAAGGCTATTAGTAATGTTGTAGCTTTACTAAGTAGGTTTCATCGCCAATGGTTTTCTATAAAAAATGGCTCCAAAATCCTCTGCCCAAATTTTAATTTCAATTTCTAATACATATTGATGTCCTAGCTTATCATGTGCTACATAGCAAGTTTGAGCAGATTCTGGCCTTAACTTTTTAAGTTACGACCATTTTTTAAAAGTAGTCAAAATCTGTCCATGGTTTTGTCCAAAAATGGCTCCAGAATCACCCCCAATTTTTATTACATTTTTTGATTCACATTGATGTCCTTCCTTATGCTATGTAGAAAGTTTGAATTAATTCCAGCTTTAATTTTTCAAGTTATGAGCATTATGATAATACATAAGCTACATCTTCAATGACATCCACATACTTCTTAACTTTGGCCAACCCTATGATCCCTCCCTAGGTTAATTATGGGCGGGTGGGTTATACACATATAACCGTTTTTTTAACTTTCAAGACCTGAGAAGGAGCCTTGGCTGGATCCGTATACTCTTAGAATAAAACTGAAACTACCAACTATAATGACATCTAAAGAATTATTATTATAAATATAATTAATAATGCATATATATGTACTTTTGTTCTCAGTTTCAGTGGCTTCTGGTGCTACTTTCAATGAGCCCTTTACGAAACTCCTTGTATCCACACACAATAGACCATCAGTCCCTCATTTTAAACAAAGACATAGCTCTACACTTGAAAAAAATTTTTTTGAATTGAATGATAGCTGTGTAGTCACTGTAGTGTCATAAATATGGTAGTGTGTTCGTCACTGTTTGATTACACCCACCAAATTAAAATTAAATTGAATAGATCTACATGCTGTGCCTGTGACAATGGGCTCCTAAACTGAAGGAAGAGGAGAACCCAACTGTAAATAATATTTAAGAATCAAGACAATGCAGTAAAAACCTGATTATGGTACAAATACAAGCACTGATTGTTTTGAGTAATTTAAAAATTTGTAAAAAATTTAATTATGTTCGGAATTAGCTCAAACTTTTCATTAAAATGGCCAAGAATTCTATCGTTTTCATTTCTAACAAAAGTTAGCCAAAGTGATAACTGTAGATATTACATAACTATGTTCCTGACATTCTTAAATATACTTGTATGTTTTATTAAGAATTCAATCCTAATCCACTATTTTCAAATTGCCTAGGGTTATGCCATAGATATCTATAATATCTATGGTTATGCTATGAGTTAATATACATGTACATTATCCACACTTTTGTATGATATGTGTTTGATTCATTATATGAACTAATTTTTCTTGTGGAATAAAAGAGTCTCAATTTTCCATTCATTCACACACATTTTGTATAATTCATTAGATGTTTCTATTATAATATAATTTTACAAATTCTTGGAATTATATTTTACTCCTAAATAAACACCTCACATAGTTCATAGTTTACTCTCTTCCCAATTACTCACTCCCTCTTGTGTGTACAGGCAAATCAAAAGTACAATTATAATATTAATATTAATTAAAGCTGAAATGAAATGACACTAATTGATAGTAACAGCTACATGTATGCACTTGCTGCATACATGTACAACTATGATTAACATATTTTGAAACTATGTTATGTATATGTACATGTACATGTATATAATTCCCCTTCTCCATTACTCACTCCTTCTTAAGTGTACAGGCAAATAAAACTATTTTAGAAATATAATTAAAAGCTTTCAGTGGTACATGCAGTGTATAATTGTATACATGAAATGAAACTGGGGCAAAGGCCATTGATGAGCCTTTATTAGAATGACATGTATGCACTTGCATGCATACATGCACAACTATTAGTAAACATTATGCTTGAAACTATAATTATTATATGTGATTTCTCTTCACATTTTCACTGCATAATTATTCTGATTACAATGAATGTACTGTATTTATTACCCATGCACACAGGCTTTGTGATTTTAGTTTTACCAAGAGTTGTTTTACATGTTATAAGTAAGACTTAAATAATTTTTAGCAGATGTACTTACATGCACATTTCTGTTATCATATGCTGTACATGTAGAGATTCGAGTTTATTGTTTACTCAAGAACCACAATAACTACTCCTTCATAGTTTACCTTTTGTAGATAC